CTAATTTGTTTTCTGAACAATCAGTACAGAAAAAAACTCCACTTCTTCGCCAAGGAAAGTAAACTCTTAATTGACTCACAAAAGATTTGGGCAGATGTAGGCAAAGTGTCTGCCTGTCATTCTGTAAGGCCGTATTACTGCCATTTGAGGATTTGTTATGGTTCAAAGGGTTCCCTGTCAGGGCATCAATTGTGCTTTGAAGGATTAGAACATTTGGCAAAATGCGTCTGGTACTCTGGCAAACATGGCATCAGGATATTGCAATTATAATCTGGAATAATTGCTGCGGATTTGTTCAGAATTACACGTTGTGGACATGGCAGCTACGGTGTAGCAAAGCAAAGGTTCTCAGTAAAGAACAGGCAAGATTACCTCTCAAAGAAATGGATTGTAAAGCTTTTAATACCCATGTAAAATGTAGATAATGGCTTGTGTCTGTGCTGCATCTATTCTTAATGCCACAGCATTGTGCAAAATATGACCTTCAAATTTTTTTTGTCGTACGTTTCCTGGTGATGCAGATTATTGTATAATAGTGAAAAAATCCAATTTTCCACCTCATACCTGCTTCGAAGGGCAAGTTGAATTTGCTTTGTACAAAACTACGCCCAACACTGTCAGTGGCAGCTCTATTACCAGCGCAATATATTGAATGTGGAGTATTTCTGAATTGCAATATCTTACGAGAATATAAAATCCATTAAACATTGGGTAGCTATTAGCATTTCTCAGTTGCTACATTTAAGCAATGTGAAACACAGCCAATACTTCTGACCCACTAAACACTTTTAAAGGGATAGCCCCTCAATTATTTAAATTCATATTTTCAATGTTTTTTGGTGCTCATAGGGAATGCAATATTTCCTTCCCCCCCCCATCCCAATCTTATCACCCAATGTTAGCCTCTACGTTCCATCCTCTGGAACTCCTTCCCAAATATTTCTGTCTTGTACCTTCCCTTCCTAACTTCAAAACTCTTCTAAAAACCTACTTAGTCACTATGCTTTTGATCACCTCCTCCTCCTCCATTATTTCCTACCTTGCTATGCTTTCCACACCATCTCTGTAAAACACTTTGAGACATTAAACTATAATAAGTGCTAGTTATTGTAGCATGGAGTACTCCCAGGTCAGATGTCGCACACACTGATTGCAGATCAAATCATCTGCCTCAGTCAAAATACTAGAAGAGTCATTTTTCACAGTCCCAACATGAAAATTTGTGAATTTTCCTTTCCCATTCCCGGTCAAGTTTCTGTGAAATTGCTGAATTATGAATTATTCGGCACCGAATTAAGACTATCCACATTCCTTTTCCCTTATGACTGTTCGTGGCAGCAGAGACGAGATTTACATTCCATCAACCTGATCAGACTCAAACCAGGGCTTTAAGCCTGAAAGGATAATGTGCAAACCAACTGCATTACCCAGTGTTCTTAAGATCCTCTGTTTAATTTTTTTTCCATGAAACGTAAATCTGAAATTGGTAACAAGACCCTCTTCCGCATTCATTCACGTACAATAGGGTCAAATTGGAGAGAACCACAGGATGGTGTCCTTTTGATTGTGATCCTGGCGCAGTCTTGTGAGATTTATGTGGTTGCAACGCTGGATAAATGGCTTGCCTTGCTGGTTTCCCCCTCCATCATTCTTTTTTCTCCTGTTATCAGGAACAGTGCCTCACTGTTCTTACAGAAAAGCTCGTCGTTTTCCTTTGATTTCAATACAAGTTGTTTTTTTCATAGAATCCCATGGGGTTCACCAATTAGGCATTTTGGAAAGTTTTCAAAGTTTCTCTGAGTCTTTTTCACGATTTGAAAAAAAGCCAATTCAGCATCAAATCTGCAATTCAATTGCATCAAAGGCTATTTGGCTGGAACTTGTGTACATCAATAAGGTTTCTGACTAGATGAGTGTCCCAGTTGCCACAAAACTGTCTTTGGTTAAAGCTAGGGCTAAGATTCAGATTTTATGCACCCTTTGAGACGTCCTTTGAGCATTTCCAGTAATAGTTTGTCATCAGAAGTGTCAGCACTGTCTTCCTTTACACAATATTGAAGTTGATAACTTTTGGCCCCGGGTATTATTAAGAAAGCAGGGTGAATGCGATTACTATCTTAGGTTGGTAATTGATAATAATACAAAATCATAATTCTTGCATTTGATGTAGGGTGCTTATTATTATTAATTCAAGGATTATTATTAATTGGGCAAAGGATGACATTATCGTACTTGTTTCCTTGCGATTTAGCATTCACCAGCCTGTGGTAAAGGGAAGGGGCAGGTGTCCTGGTTCCAGGTGTCAAGAATTACAGCTCTACAACCAGCGCCCAGCAAGTAATTTTTCCTGTAAATTATCACCTTGAAATGGCCTCGCTGAGATTGGATATTTCGTGTGCGAAACCATCATCTTCCTACAGGCTATACCCTATTTTTTGAAACTTTTTTTCCCAGAATGTACATCCTTGGTAAAATAAATAAGTGCAGTAACATGTATTAGAAATGAAAACTGTTACATATCTAATATAAATAGATAGGCAGGTACCCTTAACCCCATGTCTGCTTCATAAAATACTGTACACTACTCCTTTGTGGTATTTTATATGTGATTAATTGTTTGGGATTTCCCGAGGTAACCTTTGGGATTCAACTTGATAATCAGACATAAGTCATTACTTTGCTGCAATAAATTACTTGGGACTGTCCAGAGAGTTGGATATCGTCAACAAGCTCTGGTGGAAATTAGATAAGCTATTTGGTGAAGAAATCAATTGAGGTTTATGAATGGCATAGCAGTGCATAAGATTAGTTAGTTTTAAAAAAAAGTTTGCAGCATCTTCATAGTGATACGGCTTCTATGCATCAACGGAGCTGCATATTCGCCTACTGTATGCAGTCACTACCCTATGCAATATATCCTGCGAAGCGCTTTGAGACGCCACCCTGACTTGGCGTGAAAGGCGCTGTATAATATTAATAATTTTAATAACAACAATCCGTATACTGTAAAGTGGATTGACTGTACGTTGCATGTATCTATGAAGTCTTCAGATCGTGCTTTTCTAGAGGCAATAACTCACTCCGTCAAAAAAAAACGGGGTCACTCAATCCACGACTGTTTGTGGGACGTTGCCGTGTGCAATTGGCTGCCGCGTTTTACCCACAAAATATACGGTCAATTCACTGCACAGTATATTCCATGAACAACAAGAAGAAGATGATTTCATTTATAGAGCGCCTTTCACGTCGAGAGGACGTCCCAAGGCGCTGGACAGTTGGGTCAGGACCCGAGCATTGGGGGAAAATGGTCAGGGTGAGGGGGGGAAGGGAGGGAGGGAGGGAGCGAGCAGGGGGCAAATGGTCAGGGTGAGGGGAGGGAAGGGAGCGAGGAGGGGAGAAATGGTCAGGGGGAGGGGAGAAATGGTGAGGGTGAGGGGAGGGAAGGGAGGGAGGGAGCGAGGAGGGGGGAAATGGTGAAGGGGGGAAGGGAGGGAGGGAGCGAGCAGGGGAGAAATGGTGAGGGGAGGGAAGGGAGGGAGCGAGGAGTGGTCAGGGTGAGGGGAGGGAAGGGAGGGAGGGAGCGAGGAGTGGGGAGATGGTCAGGGTGAGGGGAGGGAAGGGAGGGAGGGAGCGAGGAGGGGGAGTGGTCGGTGAGGTGAGGGAGGGAGTGAGCGAGGAGGGGGGAGTGGTCAGGGTGAGGGGAGGGAAGGGAGGGAGCGAGGAGTGGGGAGTGGTCAGGGTGAGGGGAGGGAAGGGAGGGAGGGAGCGAGGAGTGGGGAGTGGTCAGGGTGAGGGGAGGGAAGGGACGGAGGGAGCGAGGAGAGGGGAGTGGTCAGGGTGAGGTGAGGGGAGGGAGTGAGCGAGGAGGGGGGAGTGGTCAGGGTGAGGGGAGGGAAGGGAGCGAGCGAGGAGGGGGGAGTGATCAGGGGGAGGGAAGGGAGGGAGGGAGCGAGGAGGGGGGAGTGGTCAGGGTGAGGTGAGGGGAGGGAGTGAGCGAGGAGGGGGGAGTGGTCAGGGTGAGGGGAGGGAAGGGAGCGAGCGAGGAGGGGGGAGTGATCAGGGGGGAGGGAAGGGAGGGAGGGAGCGAGGAGGGGGGAGTGGTCAGGGTGAGGTGAGGGGAGGGAGTGAGCGAGGAGTGGGGAGTGGTCAGGGTGAGGGGAGGGAGGGAGGGAGCGAGGAGGGGGGAGTGGTCAGGGTGAGGTGAGGGGAGGGAGTGAGCGAGGAGTGGGGAGTGGTCAGGGTGAGGGGAGGGAAGGGAGGGAGGGAGCGAGGAGGGGGTGAAGCGCTTTGGAGATGTTGCGAAGACATGATAAGGCGCTCTACCTAATGTAAGAATTATTATTAAGTCATCTTAATAAACAGAAGAAAAACATGTACACCTTCACACACTCACTTACACACACTCACTCTCTCATTCACTCACACTCACTCACACATACTCACTCACACACACACACTCAGTCACACACACTCACTCACACACACTCACTCACACATACTCACTCACACACACTCACATACACACTCACACATACACACACACACAGTCACACACACTCACACACTCAGTCACACACACACTCACACACACACTCACTCACACACACTCACTCACTCACTCACTCACACATACTCATTCACACACATACTCACTCACACACTCACATACACACACTCACTTACACACACACTCAATCACACACACTCTCACACTCACAATCACACACTCACTCACACACACTCACTCACATATACTCACACACACTCTCACTCACACTCAGTCACACACACTCACACTCACACACTCAGTCACACACACTCACACACACACTCACACACTCACTCACTCACACACACACACTCACTCACATATACACTCACTCACACATTCACTCACACACTCAGTCACACACTCACTCAGTCAAACTCACTCACACACATTCACTCACTCACACACACACTTGTCTGTCAGGCGCGGAGGCTGCCGGGAGCGCGGGGTCACGTGGGGTGGGCAGTAATGGCGGCCTCCGCGCTCCTCAGGGTCCGCTTCCCCTCAGGTAAGAACCTCCCCCTCACACCCCCCCACACACACCCCCCCACACACACACCCCTCCCCACACCCTCCACACCACCCCCCCCCACACACACCCCCCCCACACACACCCCCCCCACACACACACCCCCTCCCCACACCCTCCACACACACACACCCACACACACACCCCTCCCCACACACACACACACCCCTCCCCACACCCTCCACACCACCCCCCCCCCACACACACCCCCCACACCCCTCCCCACACACACACACACCCCTCCCCACACCCCCCCCCCACACACACCCCTCCCCACACCCTCCACACCACCCCCCACACACACACACACCCCTCCCTCCCACACACACCCCTCGCTCACCCCCCCACCCCTCCCCACACCACCCCCCCCACACACACACCCCCCCCACACACCCCTCCCTCACCCCCCCCCCCCACACACACCCCTCCCCACACCCCCCCCCCCACACACACACCCACACCCCTCCCCCACACTCACCCCTCCCCACACACCCCTCCCCCCCACACACACCCCCCCCCACACCCCCCCCACCCCTCCCCCACACACACACACACACACCCACACCCCTCCCCCCACACTCACCCCTCCCCACACACCCCTCCCCACACACCCCTCCCCCCCACACACCCCTCCCCCCCACACACCCCCCCCCCACACCCCCCCCACCCCTCCCCCCACACACCCCTCCCCAGCACTCCCTCCCACACACCCCTCCCTGAAAATGCACGTGGGAGGTGTCAAAAGGAATGGAGATGACAATAAATAAGATGCCATAAAATGTACGCTTTCTAATTGTTTAAAAAAGCACTAAGAAAACAAATAATATTTTCATACCACATATTAGATAAGAGATTATTACCACCGTGGGACAAAAACCTAGAAATTTCCTCACCTCTGAGTGTTTTGTCGTTAGATTGTAGGTATATGTAGTTATTGATTTTCTTACTTTATTCTTCTTTTTGATCGAGTCATGAACAGTTATAACCATTATATACTTCAGTTAACATTATAATTATAGTCGGCACACAAAGTACTTTATTTCAGGTATTTGATACTGAGGATACTGTCTTGGTATCAGTCTTCTCATTCTGAAATCTTGTGGGATCCAGAGAAAAAATGGGAAGTTCCTGAAACCATCCAAGCACACAGACAAGCTTTATGTCGTTTTTCAGTACTGAGAAGACCATGTCATGATTTGTGAAAGCTCGATCCTTAGCTGTGTATCTTTGTTGTGCACTGTAATGCTTCAAACGACTTCCATTTCGGAGATTCAGCTCTTAGTAATTGCAATGAAGAATGATGGAGAAAATTAGTGGCGAGGGTCACTAGAAAATTTGACGCTAAATGCTGAATTCAGAATAAAAATTGACTTTGCTGATTAAAGTTGGTAATAGAGATGTTAGGTAAAATCAATACTCGTCCATTGATGAACTATTAAAGGCTTGTTTTTAAACCTGCAAGAAAAAGTAATCTATTCCCGCTGCAACATGTACAGCCCAGATTGGTTATAAATAGACAATACACAGAAGATATGAATTATATCTGTGAGAAGTAAAACTAATGTTGATAAGATTGGGAATGAAGAACTGACTTAGTAACAAAATATATGGAATAAGAGATATGTCAACAGATTAAAGTGGTTATGATTTGCAGGGAGCATTTTAAGTTGTTAAGTCAGCAATTGTTTGGTGCCCTAATTTCTGTATTGCACAGATGAAAGGAAAATGGCTGCTTTTACCTTAAACATTCAGTCATTATGGAATGATAATACTGTATAAGTAACAAAATCAGTTCAATGAAAATCACAGATTCTTAAATGTTATCACACAGGCTGTGCAATGTTGTCTATGTTCTTAAAAATTATCGTCGGAAAGTTTGTTTACCATATATGTTGTAATATGTTTAGGTGTGCACATATGATATTGTCTCTGGTCTGTGTCATAATATGTCTAATTTATAGGAATCTGAAAAGATTGGATACGGTGGACAAGTTTAAAGGAAAGGTTGAAGTTGTACTACCAACACAGAGAATACGCAGGATAATTGCCCTAATTTTTCCTACATAAAATCTGTTTTGTAACTATATAATAGAATGTGACAGAACAAAAACTATTTCAGCTGGTTTCACTAAGAAAAACAGGAAACATGAATGATTTCTCACAGTCCTTAGCCAGCAAAATAGTTGATAGGAATAGTTTTGTTTGACAATCCAAAACGCCATTAACCATTTAATAACCCCAGCAACTTCTTTGCATCATGTGTAATGGATATATGTCTACAGTTTTGTAATTATTAAGACACAGGAAGCTTCGGCGCTGGGAAAAGAAAAACATCTCCCAGTGTCACAGCAAGTGCTGTTAGGTGAGTTATTTATAACATGATTAGGCGCAGTCTTCCTCCACTCTATCCCGACAATAAGTTTCAACCTTTAGAGGGCTCTTTTGGACTGTGGGACGATGCAGTGTTAGAATCACTTGCTGATAATTATCTTCAGTGACCCCAACTGGAATTTGTGTGCAGACGGATGTCAGATGAGAGGCCAAAATGGACTGATGCCATCATTCTACAGTAAAACTTGCATAAATCTTACCTTCACAAATGATATAATGGTACATCCATACGAACATAGGAACAGGAGTAGGTCATTCAGCCCTTCGAGCCTGTTCCGCCATTTAATTAGATCATGGCTGATCTGTACCTCAACTAATCCTTTCAAGTCAACATCCAACCCATTCAGTTTCCTATCAAAACCACTTAGATTTCTTTGCACTAGTCATATTTGTTGCCTCCTAACTTGTAAGGCCGTCCCCTGTCCTCCATTTCTCCCGCATTTACCGGCCACATTGAATTACGCACGTGCAGTGTAGATTATTGATTAAATCGGATTTTATACTTCACGTAAATTATACTAAATTGTCCCTACTGATATGACTTGTGTGAGTTTTACTGTACTCATTGATTAGTCGAATAGCCTTTATTTCTAATCATTGATCGGCTCAAACCAAAAAAGATGAGGTACCAAAAGGTGATTCTCACCCATTGGAAATGTACATCACTATGTATCAACCCGTAGGAGAAGAAGGAAGAAATTTAGAGAAAAATATCTGATTATTTGTTCATCAGGTCAGCAATTAGTAATAATGAGTCAAATTAAAGGCTATATAATCTTGAAACCAATCTAATGGGTAAAGGCTATAAAATTAGTGCATTTCAGAATCAAGGTACGGAAATCTCGGGTTAGAAATGCGGTGGGTGCCCAGTTGATAAGAACTCTCAAGTACTGTTATAATCACTTATAACTTGGTGTTCTGTGGGTGTGAGAAAGATTTAACCCTCGCGGTAGGAAGCGAAGGACTATGCGCTGCAATTAGCATAATTAAATACAGTATTCAGCACACGAGAGCAACAAGAGTTGCTGATTGTTCAAGCATCAAGGTATAAAATGTCTCAGGTCTTGTGGTTGGTGCTTCTGGCACACAAGCCGTTCAGACTTATTTCTAATTATGTTCTGCAATTGTCAATTATCTCACTGAGTGAGTTCTAATTTTCATTCTTTTGTGCTGTTTATGTTTGACTCCCACAGTCTGTGGGTGTTTGTGTGTATGTGTGTGCACGTGTGTATTACTCGGTTCTTTGTCTAAGTCTTGTTTATTTCAGGATTTTGCTGTGGTTTTCAAATTGTTGCTGTTGTAATACCTCCTTTTGTACACTTTTTTTGCAAAAGCAACATTGAATCTGCTTGCATGATTGTATGCACTGAATTTAAATTGGATTATTACGTACTTCAAAGACAGGTTTGTTTTGACAAGGCTCGTAGAAATGTTTATTAACTTCGTAAAGACACACGCAAATCAAATAGATCCACGTTATACATTTTAATATGCAAAATATGCCTAGAGCAGGGTGATCCAACCTTTTGGCTGCTGAGGGGCCTGTTTTTGAGAAAAGTCAGTAGACCGCAAAGCAATATTTTTGTGTTTCCCTTACAGAAATATCACAATATTTACACTGCACACCTTTTTCACATCGGAAGGATGTCTCAAAGTGCTCGACACTTCCTCTCTCTGGCGCGAGCACGCTCTCTCCCTCTCTCTCTCTGATTCCCTGTTATCTTAAAAGAAGGCTGCTCAGAAGAATACTTTCAACGCATTAGTGAAAGAGATCACTGGATCAGGGTTGTATAATGAGTAAGTTTAGAACAGAGACCAGGTTTCGGACAAGGTGGAGCTTTTGAACGATGTAGTTAGGGAGACCAGGCAGGAGTGCCTCAGAAAAGACTAAGCAGGAGGTAACCTAAGAGTTCAGGTGTCAGTTTGGCTGTGAATATTTGCCAACTTTGGCAAAGATTCAAGCAGCTTTGATCATTGCACCTGATTCAAGAGCTCCTGAGACACCGCTCAGGTGAAGGGCGCTAAATAAATGCAAGTTGCTGTTGTTGTAACATTGCCTCACATTGTTTAGATATGGTGAGCAATGAGTCCACTGGTATTTAATAAAGTGCTTTTTTCTGATTTGCAGTACCTGTCATTGGTATGTTTTGATCTTTATTTGCCAGGAATGAGCACAGATGCATACCCTTTCTGAACGCTCTTGCCTCCGACTGCATAGCTCTTACTACTTGGTGGTGTTATCTGCAAATTTAACTTACCTTAACTTGTACTGAGTCATATATGTGCACTCGCAACAGGAAGGATTCCAGAGCACAGAGTTGTGAGAGAATAAAAATACAAATGAAATAACAAAATTATAGTGAGTTTTGTGTTTTGCACTACCTCTCACCTCTAGTTGGGAGAATGACAGTTTCACTCCTGAAATATAAATACAGCTGGATGAAATACCTACTAACAGACGTGCCCTCCGTGAAGTAGATCAGACAGGTGGCCAGTGCCACAGACAATTTTCAGGTTGATATTGCTCACTACACCACACACAACAGGAGTAGCTTGTCTGTCAGAGCTCGAGCATGTGAGGAGGGGAG